GAGCAGTCTCCAGCCTACACATAGCAACATAACTGGTGTTGCACAGCCGTAAATAAATCCTGAGAGGAATCGGAATTTCCGTGGACATGGGTTATCCTCCAGTTAAGCATTCATAATAAAATTAATCTCACAAGCACCATGATTAAAGTCACAAGAATCATAGCAGAAGGTCCAGTTAAGTTGAGCCCATGTTATTAGGCCACAGAAACCATAAGAAAATAAGTATGTTTTGTTTAAGCTACCATTGTGGAAAAATTTGTATATAGTAAATAAATAATAAGCTGTACTATTCTGTGAGACTTTCATGACGTATTGATGGTAGCAGTCATCACTTGTTATAGACAATTGTATTTGTTGAATCTTTAAATTAACAGTTTCCAGTGCTAACTAATTTTTCCTTCTCTCATTTAGGAACACATTGATATGAAGTTACTTTCACGTATGATCTAACATTGGAAAACATCATTGCTTTTTTAAAAAGATGTATTATTAAGTAACTCACAGTCCAACACTTTCTCCTCATTCTGTCTTCATTGTAGAGAAAATACCCTGAGCGACAGTTGAAAATTTAGTGTTTCTAGCAGCAAACAAAAGATTTGCCAAAATAGCAGAGTATTATCAAAGAACCACGGTCACAAATGAATGAATACACGTTCCTTTTTGTTGTTAAAATCAAAATGCTGTTATTATTGCTACTTCATTATTTAGGAAGGTTATACAGTAAAATAAAAAGTATTACTAGTCTTCTAACAATATGTTGAAGAAACTGATTGGGAGATAATTGTTTTGCTTCTATCTGAATAACTCCTAGTTGACCTTATCATTCTACAAACAATACTGATAAGCTCAAAAGAAAATATAAAAATCAACCAAAAACAAAGACCAGCAAAAGCATCTGATATTCGTGGAAAGAGCCAAAATAGATATGCTGTTAATTATAGGGCACCTTTGAAAAAGGAGAGTATATATATGAGTTTCTTGTTTTATGGCAATTAGCCAAAGGAAATGCTGAATTCAGAATCATCTTGAAACATTTAAAATTTTGTTCGAAAGAATAATCTTTAGAGTCTAAACATTCAACAGAAAGGCTTTAGGAAGCAGAAGCTGATGAAACATGAGGAGATGGGTAACAGAAAACATAAAATTAGAAAGGGAAAATGTCCACTAATATAATATGTCAAATCTCTAGTTATTCTATTAGCTATAATTTTAAGGGGAAAATCAAACAGATCAACTAGGAAATGGAACGGAGAGTTGAGCTACACTTAGGAGAAAAGGTTTTCACTTTGAGTTTAACCAACTTGTCTATAAAAGGAAAAGCAAATAACAACAACAAAAAAAGTAATACTTCTCAAAGGAATAAAATATGAACAAAAAATATCTCTACAGCATAGCATTCACAGTATCTGGGACAGAGACCCAAACAACTACATATCATGATCAAGAAAATATCATCCCTCTTTAAAATAAAAGTCAAAGGAAAAAATGATATAACAATCAGAAAAGGATATTCAGAAGGCTATTTAAAAAGTTTGTATATCTTGTGCTAAACGTGTAAAAATATAGTGTAATTAATCTAAGAAAGTCATTTGTACAAAGACTTAATCTATAAAAATATGAATAATTTAAGACTCAAAGAATATAATACCTGAAATTGAAAAACAAAAACAAAAATAATGACTATTAATAAGTTTAACAGAATGGGATGACAATGAAGGTTGTCACATGGATCACAGGATAATATAAACTATTTAGTTAGTACTAAAAAGATAAAACTGAGTTTTAAAAGTTTCCCAGAAGCCTGTAGAACAACATCAAAATGCCTAAGTTCCTGTACTTGGAGTCTCAAAAAGAAAAAATGCAGAGAGAAAAGTCAGGCAATTGGACATAAAATATTAAACAAAAATAGATGAAAACATTTAATTTAACCAATGCAAAGTAAATATTTGAATATTCAAGTATCTCAGTAAGATAAAAATGTGAAAAGATAATTGTAAGAGTACAGCTTGATATGTGAAAGTCAAGGTGCTAAGCACCAAAGATCAAATGAAAATTTTCAAAGCAGTCAGAGAAAAATGACACATCACATGCTAGAAAGATGATTAAATTTCCACTGAATTCTCTCATTAAAATACTGATTAAAGGGAAGGGGAAAACTCAACACAAGCACTTCTCAATGCTCTAAAACAGTTGGTACCTTTGAGCTTAGCTACAGATGATGAGAATGAACAAAGTAACTGATGCCAGTGGATATGTATGTTTCTCAGGATGGAGATAGACTGATAGTGGCAGATTGTTTGAAAATCAAGATCAGTGCAGATACATTTCTATGATAGGAAATAAATCTAGGTTCAAATGTGATATTTCATAATTTTTAGATATTGGTTCAAAATTTAGTTAAAATAATTTGTGACTTGAAGTAATGAGCAAATAGTCTTAAATAAAATAGACTAATCTACATTTTCCATGGTTTATTACATCGGATTAAATTAATTTGAAATAAATGATGATACTGATTACCTAAACTAGAGAGGAACATATGTTCAGGTTAAGTCACTTATTATTACACATGGAGTTTTGTTATTAAGAAAAAAAAAAAACTAGAAGAATATTATGGTGTTGTTAATATGAACAACGTTATAAAAAATTGAGTGGGAAAAACAAAATTCAACATACATTTCTTTCACATTTTACAAGAGAAAAAGATAGTGCTAAAGTTTAAGCTATAATTTTAGTATAGTTAACGATGGATTCTCCACCTAAAAATGTGCCTTGATTAATCTCCTCTTCCTAACAACATACTCGGCACTGGTGATGTGCTTGTTTTTATGTTAGTGTTTTTGTGGTGCTCACTGAAGTAAGGCCATACTTAGAGAACTTCTTTATTTATGCTACACTGGCATTGTTACTAAAACTTATTATTATCTTTTGTAACTTTGAAGCTGTAACATGGCTGAGTTATCCATTCAATAAGTAGGAAAAGCTCCCAAATCTCTGAAAAATGGAAGCATTCAGAAATGAATATTGAACAGCTAATAAAGAATTTAGCCGAATAAAACTTTTAAAAGACAGTGAGCTGGGGATTTAGCTCAGTGCATAAGCACCTGCCTGGCAAGCACAGAGTCATGAGTTTGATTCTTGGTACTAAAAAAAAAGCTTTCAGAAAAGATAGCTTACTCTATCACTCTTTCTCTCTCCATATATATATATATAGATAGATAGATATAGATATATATATATATATAGATAGATAGATATAGATATATATATATAGATATAGATACAAATATAAATACAGATTTGTGTGTATGTGTGTTTAAAATATATATATATATATATTGTCTCAATTATATCTAAATATTAGAAAGCTTTGTTATTTAAACAAGTACTTCCATGAACTATATCGACTGATAAATCTCACTTATTCATTTCAATGATACAGCTTGAAGATTAAGATTAGAAAATGACCACTTTATAATTACTTTTAAATATCCTAAAATCTAAGCTAGAAACATGGCTGAAATGCACAATTAATTTTTAAGAAAAATAACAAGAGCAAAGCTAATAGTTCAGAAATAAAATATACAATCAGGTATCTTTTCTACTGTTCAAGAAAAGGCTTTCTCGTGCTCTTTTTCTGCTTCTCTTTCTGTATTCATTCTCATTTTGTTTCCTGATAACCTTCACACTTTTAGGTATCATATTCTCATCATGTCACCAACTCAGTGACATAACTGTCTCTAACTGCAAAAATACTGAGATGTATCCTTCCAGGAAAACGTAAACAAAAGCCAAAATTGAAAAGTCTAAACCCTTCTCTTGATACTGCTCTGCCCATGGGCTTTTGTTTTTCATTATTATTCCTTTGGCAATTTTAAACAGAAGTACGATGACTATTTCAATAGAACCCAGAAGAGAAATACTGCAGACTTTGCTCCTCTTAAAATGGACTTCACAAATAAGCAGCAGGGTAACACCAGGCAAACTTCTCCAGAGCAACAGAGATGTTGCCATTAATTCTTGTAACAATAAAACAAGATGCATGTAATTCTCACAATAAATTAATATATTTCATTTGAGTTCTTTTCTATGTACACAACATAACTTTTCTACATTTATATGTTTTTTAAAATTTGTTTAAAGCTTACACAGGATAAGAAATATAAAGGTAAAAATAAAGATATGATGTTAATCTCAGCACCTTTTTATTCCAAATATTAAATACAGACACATGGAATAAGAATGAATGCGCACTGAAAAAAGTGGTTTTTTACCCTGTCTTGAGAAGCTAATGATAATTTGAGAAACTGTTTCAGTGGGAAAAAAAAGGTAGGCAGGAAGCATGATGTCAGCTAGAGTTTCAATTAACTATTTCTGACTGTGTCTGGTGTTATAATTTACTGGAAGAAAAGATTTCATAGTCTAAAAACCAACACATAAATACAATAGTGTAATTCAAACAAAGACTAGTTTAAGCCTAGTGACTCTACCTCCTACTTCACTCTAAATTTTAGTTTTATCCATATCACAGCTGCCGTGTTCAAGGCTTCTCAACAGCAGAGATGTACCTGTGTGTTTGTGGGATGCATCAATTCCATTGTGATGGTGTTAGTATCCACTCACAAATTCCACACCAGCATATGCTTCATATTACTTACGCTGTTTGCGATGATTCATTAAAATGCGTATCTCTCATGATTTATTTGGTGATTAGTAGTTGACAAACATAACAGAAATGTATAAGTCATCATACATTATACCTGTGACACATTTTAAATTCTTACATACAAGTACTGCTAAAATAATTCTAAAATATGGCATTATATAAATCAACTTTGAGAAAACTTTGGTATTATTATTAAGTATTATTATTTGGTATTATTATTAAATGGTATTATTATTAAGCTGATTACATTAGCCAGAATAGTAGAATAGCATTCACCAGAATAAAGCATTTATTACCCACAGTAAAATATCTTTGTGCATTGCTATTTACATACCGGATCTTCTGGGTTGTACTGGATAACATACTCTATCTGTCCGTTTGGGCCATCATCTATGTCAGTAGCTCCATTGTCTCCTGAAAATCCTGTAAATATCGTGGTGCCAACTGGAGTAAGCTAAAAAGAAAGTAAAACAAACAACAAACAAACAAAAAAAGCTCAGTTTTCATTTCATCAACTAAACATCAAGTGTTTTGGGCACAAAAATCAGTCCTTTACTACCCAAAGAAGGGAAGCAGTCAGCTGTCAACAAACATAGAAACATTTCAAATAAAACTAGGAAACCATATATAAGAGATCTAATAATATCCAAAACTTCTAACTTCATGGTCTTCGCATTGGGTAATGAAATAGAAAGATTCCAGAAATAGCACATTTGGACCAATTTATAACCATTAGGATCTTAGCACCTGTCAGAAAATGTGTATCTGTTGTTCTCCTTAAAGGTCTTGATGCATTGTTACATAAGCTAGATTTTAACTGACTGAAGGAAGTTTATGTCAAAAGTCAAGCACCATTTTAGAGACAACTACAAAATCCTAATTGCTAATTATACATAAGATTTGCAAAATAAAAGTGGAGAAAAACGAAAAACCCCATTTCTCAAAGGAGAAAGTTACAAGTTCTTCAGTACTTCTTATGCTGATTGAGTGGAAAACAATCTTATCACAGGAATGGAAAAAACAGCCACATCTTTTTATTTTAATTAAAAGAACAACAACAAGAAGAAAACTTGGCATTTTGGTTTTTATGATTAGCTTTCTTAGTAGTCACCCTCCAAAAGTCACTGCTACGTACCTTTACCTACAGGTCATTTCACAGTATGATTTGACATCCAAAGTCATTTTTGGCATTTCTCCCTCCCAGTCCTCAGGCCTTATCTGGTACCTAACTCATCAGTTAAGTTGCAACTCAATTAAGCATCATCACTCCTATATATCCTGACACAGCCTCCCCACTCAAGTCAGTACCCCTGTCTCTAGTGATTCTATTTTACACGTCTACAATCTGTGATATTTCAGTTAATACATTTTTTGAAAGAAACATAAGCTCTGTACTTTAATAGGTCAGAGACATTAAAGTTGTGTGCTGAGATTCATTTCTGTAATTACTGAATGAGAGGTTATTTCATAATTTAAGAGTAAAGAAGAAAAATTTCAGCTATATTTTTAGGTTCTACAAACTCAAATGTCTATGAAGATTTACGAAGTGGTAAAAAGTGAGAAGCTAGCCTAAGAGGCACGGTGACAGGTGGGGAGCATGTGTCTTCTCAGATTGTTAGGTGCTGTCAGCCCAAGATAATCTTGCCAGAAGAAAATACGGAGCTAAAGTTACTAGATCCTTTAATATTTGATTTTATATCTCTTGAATTTAGGTTGTAAATAGATTTTAAAAAATTAAACCTTGAATCGATTAATCTCTACCAATTAGTCCACCAACAAAATTTTGCAAATCTGTTGTAACAAGGAGAAAATAACTATAGTTAAAGAAATGAATCATGAGTACCAGAGAAACTGGGTGTTTAAAGACCCGGCCCTCTTAGAAGGTGAGAAAGTGGCAAAGTTAAGAAAATGAGAATGAAATGAGAAGACATGATGTTAATAACAATTTTAAGAGTATTAAAAGACTAATAGGAAATATAAGTTAATTAAATGGTTTCTAAATTGATATTTCTACATAGTATATAATAAAATCCCTAGTTAAAAAAAAAAGACATGTTTCTCATATACCAATTCTCCACTATTATGTTACTGTGTAAAGATTTTGTGGATTCTTTATTTGAAAAATAAAAATTATATGTTCCTTATATACAATGTATCCTGGTATATTTGGGACTGTTTAAGTCAAGTTAATTAACATATATATTAACTCATTGCTTGTATTTTTTATACAGAGAACACAAAATTTTCTTATTCAGTAATTTTCAGAAATACATTATCACTTGCTATAATCACTGTATTGTATGCCAGATCCTTTGAACTTACCTTTCCCTACCTAACTGAAATTTTGTATATAAACAATCATTTTAAGCTACACTTCAGTGAGTGCAAACTTTTGGATTTCAAACATCAGTGATATTGTAAGATATTCCTCTTTCTCTACATAGATTATATAACTTCTGTGATGCATTTCAGATTCATGATTTTAAATTAATAAATTTTATAATTGGATAAAATTGTTTCCAGATCTCTAATATCTTAAAGCTTATTTATTCAAGGATCTTGTGGCTAAAGAAAAGAGTTGTCATGCAACTAACACTGTTAACTAAAAAATAAAGCAAAACACAATGAAGCAAATATACTGAACAATGTTGTCTATTGATACTCTGAAAAAGAAGTATCTGTGTCCTTCAGTCTACCCAAGGGGTAGAATAATTATAATAATGCAAGATATTCATTTTAGAGCAGTGTCCTGAAATAGTATTGCCAAAGGCAACATAAGTGATTTTGCAAGAAAATAATAAAACCTTCAGGTAGAAATCAGGTCACGTTCCAGAATACTAAAGATTCTAGGGTCTATCGATGTCTGGAAATCCAGGAAACAATCACTTTCTAACAGAAACATCCACTCTATATTGTCAGTAGGTAAAGAGAAAGAATTTCCCCTATTTAATTAATTCTGCTAACCCATTTAGTATTTTTTATGTCAACTTCTATAAAATTGATTTTTGTCCTTTTATCAGAGTATCATATTCCATTTAATTACCAATTATCACCTTTAAAAATCTTCACAAAATTACAGTGTGTGACTCACTGGCTGCTCCATCCTCACTGGAACCTTAGTCTGTTTGTGGTTGGCCATTGTTGCTGGCCACCCACACCAGGGCATGTCGTCCTTTCTACCATGGGGCAGGTTGGGATGCAGGACATGATGGGACCCAGTGCATGGCAAGATGCTTGGAATAAGCCGGGATACCAGCTGTGGACTGGCAGGGTCAGGGAACCTAAGGGAAGAGTGTAAGCCACCAAAATCCTGGTGTGTTCTCTGTCTTCTTTAACCTTTTTAAATCGTGACATTTTGATCTGATACTGTTGATCAACCATTTAGCTGCATTTTTACTATACAAAACTTCATTTTCTTTTAGAAATTTTAAATTATGCATTGGTTCACAGCTGCCCTCATGATGCTTTAATTATATGAATTCAACAGGGCTAAATATGAAATATTATATATATATTAACTATAAACATGGAGGAAGAAAAGAAAAGAACTAACCCGGCATTTGAAATTTGAAATTCAGAATGTAAGTGAAACTACATTAGTTGATGTAAGCAATGGAATGAAAATTGTTTTTTAAAACAATTAGTCAAGGCGAATATAAAAAAATACTATTCTGTAAATATCAGCATTTTGTTCCCAGTTTTATTCAAGATTAAATTTCTAGAAATAACTATATGACAGAAGTTAGAATAAAAGGTTTGGAAGATTTTACCTATTACAATGTTATTTTCCAAATCCAAACACGTGTCAGTAAATTCAAAGACTTGGAGAGTGATGACTTTCTTCATGGTTCTATTGCTCTCCAATTTTTTAAAAATTAGTTACTGTTTTCCTTCATCACTGTTATACACCTTTCACAACTCAAGCTCACATTTGTAAGTAGATACTCCTTTGAAATAAACTTTACCTTGTATTTTGTACTGTCTTTACCAAAATATATTTCACCACAAACTTCAGTAAAGACTGATATTAGACTACTAGAGAAAGACTGTCTGTGCATTTATGATTACAGTTATAAGGTTAACAAGAGGAGTAGTTTAGAATTTAAATCCTATGAAGCTTAGATAAGAAGCTTATCTAAGCGAAAATAAGATTCAAGTATTCTATACAAAAAAGGAAGGTTTCAAGAGATACCAATGAAAATTTACACTGTATTCACATAAATAAAGTAGGAACACACAAAATGGTTTTCAAAAACATTACATTTCTACTCCTAGTTTTATTGATTTTATGTATGTGCTTATCAAATATGAACATATCTATGTGTACATATTATCAAATGTATATATTAGTACAAATATACAAAAATCTCATCATTAATTCTTTTCTTTTCTTTTTTATCGGTACCTGGGATTGGTACTGGGGATCAAACTCACGACCACGCGCTCGCAAGGCAGGCGCTTATGCCGCTGAATTAAATATCCAGCCCGTCCATTAATTATATTCACTGCAGAATACGTAGGTCAATAATGAATGATTTGTAAATTTACAAATATTACCTGGGGGATAAAAGTACTTGACAATCAGATCTTCTAGTATGATCTGGAATATACTACAGATGTTTTAGAAACTGAGTTCTCCTATATTTTATTATTCACAGTTTTCAGGGCATATCTGCATAGAGATAACTACGTTATATATTTTTAAACATTTCCACAAATGATTAATTTGGTTTTCTGAAGAATTTTTGATGCATAGAATTATGATCAGCTTTGGCATTTTTTGAGTTTTATTGCTTTAATTCATACTTTTTCCACAAATGATTTTATAACAGCTACTGGGAAGTACATACACTACATGAATAAATTCAAAAGCAAATGTTAAAGAAAAATCAAAGGGAAGAAAATAAAAATTTCCAAATGATTCCAATAGTAAAATGATTTTCCACATTAAAAATGACAAACTTTTTAGGAACTAAACTCTTTTATTGTCTTAAGCATTACACATTGTTATACACACTATAGATATTGTGCACATGGTACAATGTACATTGTACTCACACTATAGAAAGTGTAGATATTTACATATTGTATAACTAGAGATACACACATCATTAATATTCACAATTTTGTGTTTTATGTGTTGATCAAAAACAATTTAAAATTAAACATTTTTTTCCATTTGAGATGGTTGAGATGATTTCAATTTGATCTGAAAGACTGAATTTATTTTGTCTAACATTTTTTTCTTTTTCAAAAAAACTAAGAGAAATTAGAATGTAAATAGTGTGTCATTTTCAGTTTGCTATCCAGATATTTTATGTGGCATTCCTCCATAAGTCACAAAAGTACCTCAAAAGGACAGTATCTGTCCTTACTAATCTTACTCATGGTATTTCCCCACAGAATTACTGTATTCACTTTTTGAAATGAATACAGCTTGCCAGGTCATTATAT